TCTTTCGAATTCAATACATAACAATGTATCTAATCACACTTAAAATCTCACATATATCATAATATTGCATATTCACAATTTCAATCTAAAATACATTTGAATTTAGCAAGAATATAAATGTGAGATATTGGTGTCGAAAGCTTACCTTGTTGGTTAAAACAACCAAAGAGTTTCTCGAAGTGTGTCGAAGATGCCTTTTAGATCGACGATGGATTTTCCCCTTCTTCAACTCTCCGAGACGGACAATTTATATTATCAACTAGAGAGAGAAAAGGTTAGAAAAATCAAATCATGATTCCTTATTCCCTTGCCTCAACCACTTTCTTCAATCTTCGATGGAGGCAATTTGTAGGTTTGGATATCTTATTTCTTTTGGATTTTGAATAATTGAAACCCAATATGTATAACTCTAAATATAGGCTAAATTCTAGGTAGTATTCTAAATTATCATGGGATTTGAATTTCTAACCCGATTTTGCACCCGACTTTAATAGTCAAACTAGAATGAACTTCTACATTTTTGCTCAATCTAAAATGATTAATATGTGTACTACAAACCCCAACAAGGTTTCTTTTCTTTTCTAGATATCTAAGAAAATGAAATTCTCTTATCTTTCTATAAAGTTTAATATGCTAGCAAGTGGAAATACGAGTTTGATTTAAGGTGACTTTTTATTGAATTTTGGTGAGTTTTGTTGCTAGAAAAAACTATTGGAGGATTATTGGAGGAAAGCAAACTACTTTCAAATACTTCTTGTAAAAGGATGAGATGTGGTTGGTTGTTTTGGGGTAGAATAGAGGTCTGTAACGGTGACAATATTATTGTCAATGAGGAGTTGATGTCATAACGATTTTAGTAGTCTTTTATGGAGGTTTCACGATAGATTTGAAGGAGTTTTTATAGTGGGTTTATGAGTTTGAAGAAGATTTTAAGAGTTTTTTAGGAGGATTCTTATGGGTTGATTTGGGGGTAGAAATTGCCAACACTACGGTTGAAAAATGGCGATAGTATTGGTAGATTTTAAGAGAAAAAATATGAGGGCCTCACTTGCTTTTCTTCTTGATTTTTAGCTAGATTGGGGCTATTTCATAGGGGAGTAGCCAACACGAGGAGGATAGGGTTTTGAAGATGGTGGCTATGGAGTTTTGGATCTTTGATGGTGGTGGGTTTTAAGAGAATGTGAAGTGAGTTTTCTTCTTTCTCACTAGTTTTTTTTTTGGTTAAGAAAAGATGAATGAAATAGCCCCTCCTCTCTTCGGAGATGAAGAGAGGTTTATATAATAGAGTTAGTTAGGGTTTTATATATTTCTACCTTGGCTTCGACTTTTTCTCCTTTTCCTACATTTGAACCTTAACTCTTCTTCTTCTTTTTTTTTTTTTTTGTATTTTCAATTGACAAGTTTTTTTTTTAATTGAACCCCTAATTTAACTTCTTCTTTTTGTAAATTCCAATTCTCATGTACTTCAATTTATTTTCTCTCTCTCGTTAATTTTTCTAAACTCTAAAAAATATGAGATTCCTAAAAACTCCTATAAAAATTGCACAACCAAAAAAATTAAACAAAACACATTTAATTTTTGTATTTTTTAGGAAAAATGTGTAAAACAAGAAGGTAAAATTTTGGTGCTAGAAAACCACATACACACACAATCATACACATACATAATATGAAAAGAAAAGTAGCAAAATAAAATTTCTAGCATTATGTTTTTTAATTATTATTCTTGTTTTTTTTTAAAAAAACTAGATATTAAAAATTTTAAATTTCATTCGGATTTCTTGTTACTATTCAAAATTTTTATTTTGATTTTTACATTTGTATTCTAGATTTTTCATTCTTGATAACATACAATACCAAAAAGATAAGAAAATTTCTCAATTTATAGGAAAATAAAATTGGAGTATTAATTATTATGGGTGTGTTTTGTAAAAGAAATCAAGATGGACATGGTATAATAGTACCCATATATAATTAGGCTTTGGGCTTTGAGGTGGCTATTATAAATAATTATATATGAGTTTTTTCCCCCTATTCTTTTGGTTTCTTTTATCAAGTATTTCATATTCAACAATTCTATCATTAAACATGATCTATTTTTCGTTTTTATTTTCTTCTAAGGGTTTTTTGTAAGGTGCGAATTAACCAAATGTGGAAGATAGAAGATAAACTTCCTTACCTACAGAAGTTGTTAAAAATTCCTAACTATAAATTTCTAAAAGTTCCAAGGTAACCTAAGCTTTTATTTCATTAAAGTGACATCAAAATACTTTAAGATTTTTTTAGTCTTGTTTATCCATCAACAAAATTAAAAAAAAAAAAAGGCACGCATTAAACTTATTTGAGTAATTAAACAAGTAACTTCTAAAATAAATCTATCAGATAAAGATAAACTATACTAAAAATTGCGAACTCAATCCTCATGATTAATTTTGGAATTAATTTGTTATACCATGATAAAAATAAACAATAACCAATTTTTAACTAGCCAAAATTATTGTAAAAATAAACAAATAAAATACATATATTTTTTCCCTTTTCTACGGTGCTCATATAGTTATATTGATAAGTATAATGCAGTAAGAAAATCAGTTTCACATGATATACATGGATAAAGATAAGATTAATAGTTGGAGGGGTCTTTTTACTATTTGTTTTTTTTTTCCGTCTCAATCATATCTTTTTTTTTTTTTTCATCTTAAGTTCATCCCTTTATGTTTAGTTTTTGTTTTAATCTTGCATTTCCATTAATTTTCTATTTCTACTCTTCTCTTTTTTTTTTTTTTAATCTTAAACTAGTCCTTCTACTTCTTTTTTTATTAATCTTTTTTTTTATCAAATTTAAATAAATAAATTTTGAAAAATAAAAAAAATTGAAAACAAAATGTGAGATATATCCAACCATTCTCTCTCTAATATATATATATATACACCAAAATATGTTTTTTATGGGTTTAAATATATATCTATGATAGTAAGCAAAATTTGAGTATAAAATAAAATATTTAAAGTATAATTTTTTAAATATGAAAAGACTTTTAGTCAAAATTTTAATTTTTATTTATAGTTTTATAACACATTAGAGAAATTTTTTAATTTGACTTGAAAGTGAGATTTTTATGTCTTTTTATTAGAGCCCTTTGTTGAGATGAGAAAAAGCAAAAATTTATGACTGAATTTATATTCCCAAAAAAATTTAACAAAATTTATATTCCATAGCAACTTTTTTGTAAACCGATAACGGATATTTTAAATAAAAAATATATTTTTATCTTCATCTTTTTTTTTTGGAAAGAATGGTAAGATATATCTTCATATTTTTTTTTGCTTTTTTTTTTTCAAAATTCATTTGTTTAAATTTGAAAAAAAAATAGAGGGGCAAGATTAAGATGAAAAAAAAGTAGAAGGATGAGATTAAGGAAAAAAAATAGACATGTGTTGCAATTTTATGAAGTCAACGGTGTGATTTAATACTTTTAGTTCAAAAAATTAACAGAAGAACAAACTTAAAACAATATGAAAAAGTAAAAGGACAAACTTAAGATGAAAAAAAAACATAGAGAGACATCATCAAAATGAAAGAAAGAGTAAAAGATCATTTGCAACCATTATACGGATAAAAATAGCTAACAAAAATCTTATTCAAATTTAATTAAAGGTTACCTTTAAACTTTAAAAATGGATAAAAGCCAAGGGGTGAAACACTCGTTAAGTTATAATCTAAATACGTTTATTATTTTCTGTTTTCATCGGATCGGTAAAATCTATGTTTAATTAAAAGTATAATTTATATCCTTAAACTGAAGTTTGTATACAAAGAAAATAACCTCAACAAAAACATGTTTTCCTCTTTCCGTCAAAGCAAAAACTTTTTGTTTTTTTCATTTGCCCATTAAATTAACCTTTGTATTCCCCTTTGCTAAAAAAAATACATAACAAATATCACTACTATTAGGCAAAATTATATCAATATTTATCAAATTTTTGCTATAATTTCCTTGATTTTCAATTACAAAGCATGTATAATGCAAAACTCAAAATATGATTTGCTAAAAAAAAAAAAAAATTTCCATATATGATTGTAAGTTGTAAATATTGAGTGTTATTAGGTTCTTTGAGTGATTTTATTATAATACTCAAACATATTAAATGCCTCGATTTGATATGCAAACCCTTATAATTATTTCAAGAAATACTATAATAAAGAAAAGAAAGCGGAGGTTAATTAAGAAATTTAATTAATTCTTAACAAGTGTCCTGCAGACACCCATCAGCAAGACCCTTAAAATTTATTTATTTATACGAGACAAGCCCCTATGATTATGGAACTTTTAACTTCCACAAATTAAAAATGGAACGAAAAACCCTTGTTCTAAAGAAAGAGGGACGTGCAAAGACAAGCTATCCAACGGAAATAACTGCATTCCCTGTTGTCTTAATAGAATGATGGGAAATGCAGACAGAGATGAAGTTGATGAGTGGAAGAATTCAGAGCAGTTAAATAAGACAGGCTGTTTGAGGGTGCAGAAAAACTAGTACTCAAACAACCTTAAAATATTGTTTGACGGTAGAGACAATCACCCACCATTTTCTGGGTATTCTTGCTGGATTAACAAACTCGTGAAAGGAAAGAAAGAAACAACATCAGATGGGCTGGAAAGTTCGTTAAGGTTTCCCCAAAATTAGTTCACGTTTTCTTTTTGCTATTTTCATGTTACTATAACAAGTCAGCAATAGGGAGATACAGATAATTCTGATCTGCATTTGTAGTCTACAAACATTAACAGCTTGTTTTGTTAGAAACAGAATTGATCGAACAGCCAAAACCACTGAGGACCTGAAGCTGTGAACACAAATACAAGAAACAGAATAATAAGAAAGAAAGCATCAATTGAAGCAAAAAAAAAAAAAAGGATTGTGATATGAAACAGTAAAAAGCTTTAAATAGGAAGGGGTGAGGGGGAATCGAACACAGAGACGGAGAAAAGGAAGAGGAAGAGATGGAGAATGTTGTCATTGCCAAGAATTCATCTCCTTTGGATGACCATATCACTTCTGCTCCTCCTTCCTCTCTTCTTCCTCTGCTTCCGCATAAAAGGGCAGCTAGAGGATGGAGATCTGTAAAATACAGTCTTGGTAATCCATGGATTTGATTAGAATCATGTTTTATTTTGTGTTTTTTTTTCTTATTGTCCACACTTATTTTGACTTGTATTAATTGTTTCATTTCAAAGGGAACGAGTCATTCGAGAAATAGGCTTCGATGGGTCTCATAGCCAATTTAACAGTGTATCTACAAATAAGATTCAACATGGATGGTATTCAATTGGTTAATGTGTTCAATATTTGGTCTGGTTCCACCAATGTTACACCCTTGTTTGGTGCTTTCTTATCTGACGCATATCTGGGAAGGTTCCGCACTCTTCTTTTAGGCTCCATGTCCTCTTTCCTGGTAAAATCATCTGTCTCCATGCATGTGTGTCTATTAACTCACATATAATAATAAATTAAGATGTTCTGCGAAATCTTTAATCTTCTAGATGCTTCCTTCAGTTTGAATGGACAAATTACAAGGTTGAATGTTTCTTAGGTTACAGTTGGAGATTTGGGATTATGCTGTGGAAAATTCAATTATTAACGCTGAATGTGGACCATGACCCATTATATATGTTCTTCTATATTTCAACAGGGCATGGCGATCCTGGCCCTAATTGCAAGCATACCAAAGTTAAGACCCCTCGACTATCCTGGAGAATCCAATTGCCAAAAGCCTCAAGATTGGCAGCTTGCAGTCCTCTATTTTGGTCTGGGATTGCTTGCCATGGGAGCTGGAGGTGTTAGGCCTTGCAACATTGCCTTTGGAGCTGATCAGTTCGACACCAGAACTGAAAAGGGACGAGCCCAGCTAGAGAGTTTATTCAACTGGTGGTATTTCTCTTTCATAGTGGCTCTCGTGGTGGCTCTCACTGCAGTGGTCTATGTTCAGACCAATGTTAGCTGGGTTATAAGTTATGCTATCCCAGCTATCTGCCGGTTCTGCTCTATTATCGTTTTCTTGATTGGCAAACACACCTATATAATCACAAAGCCCCAAGGAACTATTTTCGACGATATGGCCAAAGTGATTGTAGCTGCCCGTAAGAAGCGTGCAGTGAGTCATGAATCGTCTTCTGGTCATTCCTTTTACGATCCCCCATGGTTGAATCAGATCAGCATGTAGTAAAGCTTACTCGCACAGATATGCTCAAGTTCTTGGACAAGGTTGCTCTAATTGCTGATCCAAGTGAATTGGATGACAACGGCTTGCCCAAGAGTTCTTAGAGATTATGTAGTGTTCAACAAGTTGAACAACTGAAACTAATAGTGGGACTTGTGCCAGTTTGGTTTACAGGAATCGGTTGCTTCATTACTATGGACCAAATGAATACTTTTGGCTTGATGCAAGCAATTCAGTCGAACAACGAAGTCCACAAGTTTAAAATCCCACCAGGTTGGATGGGCCTTATGTCGATGATTTGCCTTTCAGTATGGATATTCGTTTACGAGCAAATTTACCTGCCTCGAGTAAAGAAAAGGTCAAAAAAGAATATTAGATTGACAATGAGACAGAGAATCAACGTTGGTATTGTAATGGCAATCCTGTGCATGGTGGTGGCTGTAATTGTTGAGAAGAATCGCCGGGAAGCAGTTATGAAATAGGGAACCTTAGTGTCACCTCAAAGTATTCTGCTGATGTTGCCATAGTTTGCCCTTTCGGGTCTTAACGAAGCATTTGCTGCTGTTGCTTTTATGGAAGATTATAACAACCATTTGCCAGAAACCATGAGGACTCTTGCTGGGGCCATCTTCTTTCTCAGCTTCTCTGCATCCAGCCACTTCAACACGGCCATTGTCAATCTAGTTCACCATGTGACTTCAAACCATGGGACAAAACCCCCCTAGTTGGGTGGCCGTGACCTCAATAAAGTTACACTCGATAACTTCTACTACCTTATTGCTGGTTTAGCATCATTGAATCTCCTATATTTCAATCTCTTTTCATACCACTATTTGGAAAAGCATATTGATAAACGATCTGAATCAAGGCATTAGAACAAAGAGTCGGAGATGAATGAAACTGCTTAATAACTCATGAACTTGGTGGTTTTCTGAAAAGTCTCGATTCCTTCCTGGTACCATGTACCTCTTTCTAGTCAGCGTCTTGTATTGTAGGTATCTATAGAGTGCTCTGTCGCAAACAACCCCACCATAAGGTTTGTAAAGTCTCAGATTTGCTATGTTTTATACATTGGAAATTTGGGACTCAACTATGATATTCAGGGTTGAATGGATTGCTATAGTTAACCCGATTAATTGATAGTACCATTGAATGTTGCATCCTCAGAATTCCTGCTTCTACTCTTTAATCTTTATCCCTTTTCAGCTGAATGTTTTTTCAGGATCATGAATTTGCTATGTATAAAGAAAGATTAATGTGCGTGGAGTTAATTTCCACAACGCAGAGTCTGTTCCGGTGCATTGTAATGACACCTTGAATGTTAGGAGATGAGGTGGTTTTTTCTTAGTTGGTACAGTTATAAAGTTTGATGGTGGATGAAGATCAAGTTAATTGAAATATTTGTAAAATAAATCCTCCTAGTGGGTTGAAGGATCCTTCTATAACTAAATTAGTATATAGAAGAGAATGGTCGCCTAAGAAGGTAGTGATTTAGGTACGATAATGGCAGTAAAAAAGAGAAATTCGTAACCTTTCACTTCAAGCTTTTTGACTATTTATATAGCCAAAAGTCTAGTAAAATTGCATCAAAAGGAGGATGAAATCTTTTTTTTTTTCTATCTAATTTATGATTCTAATTAAGAAATTAATGTGTTTGATATTGATAGGCTATTACTGAATGAACATAGTGGTTTCATAGTTGTTTTCAATTGAATAAAAATAACTTTAGAGGTGTGCCTGCCTTCATTTATTGAAGGTACATTTTCTCTCTTTAATTGGTGGGAGTAAGTGCAAGTCCTCAACTATTCAGTAAATAGTTTGATTAAGTTTCATTTAGAAGGTTTAAATTTTATAATGAGTGACTTCTTCTTAACTTTATACATTATTCATTTTTTTAAACCCTAATACCATATTAAATTTTGAATAGTATAAAATAAATGAATGATTAAAGACTAAAGAATAACATGGTTCGACTACTCCACGAATACAAAAGCAACTAAGAGCTAAATATTGTATTTTAGTTTATTGGTATTTAAAGAGATTATAAATGACATACATTTATAATAAGTGATACGTAAAGAAAGAAAAACAAATCAAACATATTATTACAAAACAAATCAGTCAATCTCTTGCATTGCTCCAACAAATCTCATGATTATCTTAATAAATCACGAGATTGATCCTTGTAATTTTGAAAAGTTAATATACTTTCCAACACTCTCCCTCAAGATGAGCACATATCATGACAAAATAATTATCTTGCAATTGACTATATTATGCTTGGAAAATATCTAATGCCAACAAACAATAAAAATTTGCCCAACAACATCATAGGCAAAATTTAGTTTACAAGTTTGCTATAAAATTTTCTAAAACGAAATACATATCGATTGTAGATGAAAATAAAACTAGGAAGAACCAAATCCTAACACCGGAAGAAATTTGGTTAAAATATAATCGAAGCCAATTAGATGTTTGAAATCCAGCATAAATTTTGCTAGAAAATTATTCAAAACTTGAAGTTGCTTGAAACTTGATTCAAAACGACTCATGGCCGAAGATTGATGTAAAATGTGGCTGAAAAGCAGCACCAAATAATAATAAAAAAAAAAACTATAAAAGGTTAGTTGGCAAATACTGAAAGTCAACAATGGTGAAAGTGATTGACCTATACGGACGAAGTTGCTTTGGTACCATTTTAAATTTTAAGTACATGGTTCAATAAAGACATTTGCTAGTTGATTGGTTGAGGAAACATCACTACAAAATAAAAAATAAAAAAATAGCAATAAAAAATCCATCATTGTGTAGTAAAAATCTATCGTTATTTATACTTAGTGATGGATTTATAACAACGAGCTTTCTATAGCAAAAGTCATCGTTGCTACTTTCTTAGCGATGAAAATCTGTTTCTAATGTGTTGAATTTTCATCACTAAAGCATAGTAAATGGTCGTCTCTCTAGTCTCATATTTTTCATAACATCATCTCTAATTCACTATTTTCATCACTAAATTATTCTAGCTAAAGTTTGTTACAAATCCATCGCTAAATCCATTGCTATTTAGCGACCATATAAGTGCTCGTCATAAAGTGATTTAATTTCTATCGTTAATTTAATTGCTACTCTATCACTAAATGAAGGAAATTTTAATTTTTTAATATAAATTAATAATCATTTAATATTAATGGTAGTAAAAAAAAATTAAAATAACACCTTATTTAAACATGATATATTATTTAATAAAATTAAAAAAATATAAATTGAAATCAAATAAATATATAAATGTGTATCAATGTACAAAAACAATAAAAATCTTAAAAAAAAAAAAAAGAAATTTAGTCCTCTTTCGACCACTAGGTATTGAGATAAATGATTGACTTTTGGATATTGGGGGTCGGTAGGAGAGACACGAGTTTGTCTGCGAGCCTCGTAATAACTCCATCATTATCCGCATCCGACTTTGTAGAGTGCTGGATTGATCGGTCTATTTCCGGATAGTAATCTTCATCCCCTTGACCCTTTCTTCGTATTGGGTAGAAAACTCCTAACTATTACCTCCGGGATATTGTAAAGTGGCAAACAAAGAGTTGGTGTCGGAATAAGAGTAATACTTGGACACCTATAATATCCAAATACATCTTGGAGATGTTGATGCATGGAGACTATGAATCATCCTCCTACTTCTCCTTAGCAATCGCTTCTTACATTAATCGCACATGTTCTTGCATTATTGAACTAATTATAATATTAAATCATAAATATATTTTTTAAATTATATTTGATAAATGTATATATATATATATATATATATATATAACTTATCATTACTAATTGGGATCACCTATCAATAAATGATCCATTTTTTCGCTTGTAAATGGTCACGAACAACTTGTAAAGATTTGGGTTACGATTTAATTCATTATGCTAAAATAAACAAATAAAATAATATGAGATGTAATAAATATAAAAATTAATTTATAACATAATAGATAATAGAATTTACCAAACGTTCAAGCATGCTCAACCAAAGAGATGAACCCCCCATATGCATGAATGAGCCAACACCGACACCACCCGCCTCCAACATACGGCTTTGAAACGCCCATTGAGGTCAAACCTAAAACTCAAGAGTGGCCTAATCTTGGTGCCATGCTTCCCACATCTGCTATTTAACATACTCGGGTATATCATTCCTTTTATTTAGCTTGTTCGAGCAGCTTCTTGTCTAGCCTCGCATGCTAGACTCGCCACGTATCATTAATCAATGCATTGACGATCGCATCCCATAAAAGTACTTTTACATAAATAAATAAAAATATTAATACATTTCATATTAAATTAATAATTTAAATAAAATAAAAGCAACTAATTAATATATTATCTTAAACTTATTAAAGTAGAAGTATTTCATCTCCATATAAACGAGACTTCCATGTGGAGTCAAAAATGTTCAATCACACTTTAAAAATTACGATGATTTTTATGGAGCACTTCATTAAACTAAGTTATCGAAAAAAAAGTAAATTAATGATTCTAATATAATATATGAAAATATAAAACTAATTACCATATGTAAAATATATTACTTACTAATTATTCATGACTTGAATGGTCCCTCCAAAATCAAATCCAATAGAGTTTTCTAAATCCGAGGAAACCGTCATGGGGATATCTATAGTCGGGAGCACTGCCGTTGGTGGCATTACTAGCAAGGGCACTATTAGCAAGGATGCCGACATGCCGACGTCATTATCAAGTCCACGACCTCGCACCTTTACACTAGCAAGTGCGACATCCATATAAAGTGCCACTATCGGTAGCATGGTCTTGGAGATTGCTAGTATTAGTGTTATAACCATGGACACTATCACCATCGAGTCATGCCCTAGCACCGTGACCAAATCTTCCTAATCCATGAGGCATAACTCTAGAATAACACCTAAAATAGTTTAACAAATATAAAAAATGAATAAGAGTTTATCCGAAAATATATTATAAATTATTTTTATAAAAAAATTCAGCATAGTCTCTCCTATAAATTGGATATTCCCTTATTACCGAAAATCTCACTCGCACAAAATTCAACACATCCAAAATGCATAACAAACATCTAAAAAATACATAATAAACAAAATGATATAATTTAATGAATACAACAAATAAAATAGGTTTTTAATTTTAACTCGTCATAATCATCTTTTTAATTTTCCTCTCCCTCAATTGATTCGACATACATTCACTTTTATCTTCTTCATTAAATTCAATAACTTCTATATCTATAAACGACCCATTTGGATCATGTAACGACTATTCCTCGAGCATCTTCTTGGATCCAATTATGTTAGATTCCGAATCATCATCTTGAAATGGTTCGTATTTTTTTAGACTCCTATAAACAAATCGGCAAATCAACCACAACCTTAGCTTTTATTTTACAAACTGACCTACCAATCCTAATTATCGTACTTCAAACTAGGATACTCGATATAATATACTTGAGTTGCTAAAATAAAAGGTTCATATCGATTGAACCTCCTTCTATAGTTTAATTCACTAGTCAATATTATGAATGAACCATTATTCCATTTTATGTAGGGTCAAACCAATCACATTTTAACACTATTGTTCTCTTGATTAGTAGTGTAGGATACTCCAATTACGGAATTTTGATTAATATTTTATAATAGTCACTCTCATCCGTACTATAATTAGATCTTTTAAT